AATTTGATAAAATTAGACTCTCTCTCTATACAAATATTAGAAAATCATTGACAACATGAAAACAAATAATTGGTAGTTTTTACAATTTATGAGTAAGAATAAAAAAGATAAGATTTTGTATTGTGTTATTTGTATATATAATATATATTCAATAAGATTTAAATTTAATGATCTAAATTACTTTAATGTCATGTAATGACTAATAATTTATATATATATATTTAATATTTTTATATATCCATATATAATTCGGATTTTGAGTTGCTTAGGTTGTTTGATATCTTTACTCAAGCTTATCTAAATTTAATTCAAATTTTTAAATTTTTGCCCAAATATATACCGAATCCAAAAAAATCTTATTCAAATCCTAAAAAAATTTGAACTAAATTTGAATTACTTGAATTGAACCTGTCCAAATTAGACCCTTAACACACAACATATTACAAGTCTATCAATCATAACCACCGCAAATTAATCTAATTGAACTCAGCCTCCGTTTGGGAAGTGGGTTGACTTTTTAGCTTTTTAGCTTTTTTGGCTATTTTAGCTTGGGCTAAAAAGCTTGGTTTGGGAAGGGCTTTTTGACTTTTTGACTTTTTTTGACTTTTTTTGTGAGAGAAGAGTGTAATGATTATGGGTTAGATGTGATGTTTTATTTTTTGTGACTAAAATAGCCTATTTTGTCTTTTGTGGCTAAAATAGCCAAAAAAGCCCGGAAAAACCCTTCCCAAACGGACCCTCAAGATCTCAATTACTTTTTTGTTATCTAGGTTATTTGCTTAATTTCACTTGGGTTTCAAGATTAAAAGGTGGATTTAGAATCACAAGACAGTGCCATAACCCGGACTTATGGGCAAGATTAAAGTATAAAATGTTTGTATAATTGTCTATAATGGCTTAGGACACTTGTATTAAACAAGTAATTATTCAATAACCAAAATAAATTTCAACCATTCAATTATTTGTTAAAAAATTGTGTACTTTCTGGTATTAAGCATTGTGTTCTCTCACACTTTTCAGTGGTTTCTTTTTAGAAAAATGCTTGGGAGCACTAATTAGTGCTCCCACTAATTAGGTGGCAGTGGGTCCCGTCATTAATGATGTGATGTTTTGGTCTTGGAGTTGTATTTATTTTTATTTATTTTTTATTTTTTTAATGCATTAGTGCTATTAGTGGTGATATTTTTAGTGGGATGAATCATTGTTGATTTAATAATACCAAATTAATTGTACCAATCAAAACTGATAAAAAGTAACCTCTGCCATCATGTCAAAAGAGATAACGATTCAGCATAATACCTGAATCAATTATAAAATAAGAACCAGATAAAGAAGGAAGAAAAATCTTTGAAAGTTACAAAATCAGTAGTTTAAATGATTTGAAATTGTTAAAATGATGTCGTTTTGGCTTGTTTTGCGTTCAAAATGATGTCGTTTTAACAATTTCGAGCCATTCGAGCCACTAAATTTCGGGTCACCAACCATTGTTAAAGAATAAATGATGAACCAAAGCAATCCAAAAATATCAAAAAAAAAAAAAAATTTTGTAATGCCTATTAATATATGAAGACATGAGATGATAAAAGGGAGGGAGTTGATTCAAAATTATTTGCAAGTGTGTCTTGCTTGGAGTAAATGATTCCTCCTTCTATCAAGCGTGTGGTATGGTCGCGTCGAGTGGCATCCACTACCCCTTGGTTGAGGGCATCCAGGGCACTATCCTATCCTAATTCCTTCATTGCAGGTCTCAGCCTGCATCAGATTGGTATCAGAGTAGGAATTTCCTGTTGTGGTGTCAATTTTTTTTTTTTTTTTATCTTAAACTAAATATTAAAATGAGATATTTTTTTATTGTAATTTTAAATAACTTTTAATGATTAAAACATATATAGTTGTGAAGAAAACAAAAATGGGTGTAATTTTATAAATTTTAAGAAAATTCTTATGAAAAGAAAAACAAAATTACCTATGTAAATTCATTTTTTTATGGATCATTAAACAAAAATTGGATTTCTTTTTTTTGGGTAAAAAATATCTATTCATTCTATGATTGTTTTCATAACTAACGGTGGATACAAATGCAATATATTTACTAGGGTTATTTTTTGATAAATTTTCTTTTTAAATATTTTATTCCATTTAACTCATATTTTTTTATTCTATTAAGTCCTATTTAATGTAATATGACCAAATCATCCTTTTTAATTTTCTAGACATGTTTCTATTTTGAAACTAATATATAAAATAGTCCATAATTTTATGGAGAAAATCTCTCACTCATCTTTAAGAGAAAATCTTTCCCTTATTTCCTAGAGAAAATCTGTCTCTAATTCTAAGGAGAAAATCTTTCTCGCATTCCATAGAGAAAATTTCAAATTATGAATTTTGAAACTTTTTATAATTTAAAATTTTTAAAATTAAGGCAACAAAAATTTAAATGAAAATCAAAATAAAATGTGAATGTTCACAGTAAACAACAAAATACAACTAACTTTTGAAAAAATAAAACACATATTAAAGTATAATGTGAATGTTCACAATAAACAACAACACATAAAACTAACCTTCGAAAAAATAAAATTCATACTAAAATATAATGTGAATGTTTACAATTTATAATTAACAAACAACTAGTCTTAAAAAAATAACTCATACTAATGTAAACATTTACACTGCAATATGAAAATATAAAACAAAATTGAAAAAAGTGAAACAATGATAACAAAAATGATTGTTCAATTAACAAGCATAGTAACAAAAACAACAAACATACAATTAACTTTTGAAAAAATAAAACTTATACCAAAATATAATATGAATATTTACAATTTACAATTAATATGCAATTAGTTTTTTTTTTTAAAAATAAACTCATATCGATGCGAACATGCACATTGCAACATGAAAACATAAAATAAAATTAAAAAAAAAGTAAAAATCAACTATTTCGATTGTTTAATAGTAACAAAAATGATTGTTCAACCAACAAGTATAGCAAAAAAAAATAACAAAATATAACTGATTTTCGAAAAAACTTAAATATATTCATATATATATATATATATGTATATACCAAAATACAATATGAATGTTTACAATTTATAATTAACATACAACTAACTTTAGAAAAACTAAATTAATACCAATATAAACATTTACATTGCAACATGAAATAAAATTGAAAGAAGAAAAAATAACTCTTTCGATTGTTTAATGGTAATAAGAAGTGATTATTCAAACAACAAGTATAGTAACAAATAATCAATAATATGTAAACATTCACATCTTGTAAAATATATAATTATCTCTATATATATATTTCAACACTTATTTCTCAAACTTTCAAACAATGTGAAATGTGAACATTTACACTAATTAACAAAAAAAAATAAAATAGAACAATGACAACAATAGAATTAAAAATTCAAAAAAAAAAAAAAAAACCCAATCACTCTAAAAATAAAAAAATGTCACCCACATCTTCATCTTCATCTTTATCATTATTACTATCATTAATAATCTATGCAATTTCACCATTCCATCAATCCAAATCAAACCAAACCCAAATTTGAAGAATATGTTTGTAGCAAAATTAATTGAACATAAATAGAGTTTCGACTTACAACAATGGAGAAATATAGGATTTTGAACACAGAGTAACAATGAACGAACACAGAACTTTGAATACAAAGTGACAATGGAGGAACATAAAACTTCACTGCAACAATGAAATAACATAATATTATTTCACCACCATATATAAACTAGAGTTTTTAAATTCTACCAAATAAAGAGTTTTGAAACCCTAGTACAATGAAATAATACCACAAATGTAAATAAAACTGATCAAAAAGAAAAATATAAATAATGTTAACTACCAAAATAGAGGTAGTGACAAAAAAAAAAAAACTGTATATCTTTTTTTTTTATATAATACATATCAACAATAAATATAAGGGTATAATAATCCAACAAACAATACAAATCAGAAAAAAGGATCTCATAGAATAACAGTATAAATATATAGACTAACTAAGTTATAATTTTTTTTAGTGGACTTATTAGATTAGAATACCTCTAAATGAGATTTATCAATAAAAAACTCTATTTAGAATTTTACATCTACACTTTTGGAAGGTGTGACGAAGGAAGATGGATAAATTTGAAAATTATTTGGCAATTATTCTTTTATGACTGTTTCACAACTATTTTATGAACATTGTTGAAAAAAAAATAAAATAAAATAAAAACATAACAAAACTTCTGAGCTGTAAGTGATTATTCAGTACTCTCGAAATATGGATACGTAGTACTCCATAAAGTTTTCGTTGGTGGAGAGGTGTAAGGGTTCACAATTTATGTTGGGGATGAAAAACAACATGAGGCTAAATAATTTATGATTAAATAAGAATATGGCCACGTGGTATTTCAAAAGTATTGAATAATTTCCCTTGAGTTGTATATAGAATAAACTCAATCAAAATGAGAATGAAAAAAAAAAAGGAACTTTTTTCACTTTTTTTCCCCCCATCTTTTCTCTTTCCTTCTGTTTTTCCTTTACAAATTCATAACCCAAACACATGACAATTTCAACATTACTGAAATAAGGATAATGCTTAATCATGGTTAAAAAAGTGGTGTACCTAATTTTTTAAACACCAACTCATGTTGCGAGACCCACATATGATAAATTGTACATAATTCATGTTCCTATTCAATTAGATATAACTAACAATTTTTTGGCTAGTTCAATTTTGTGGCTTTATTATGTGCTATTATTGCTCATGTATGTTAACCCTTCTAAAACTTCTAATTTGAGGAGAAAATGCTACACAACCAAAATTTTTATGTAAAAAACTCATTCAAAATGACATGGCAATGATATATTTAGAATTATAAGCTACAATTGTGGGTTTATACAGCCACCAAATTTCTCTCCATACTGGCATGTACAAGTGTTTATCTATGAAGTATAAGATCTATAATTCATGTGCTGGGTATAAAGATAAATGAAGTTGGTATATTTAGAAGCTCCTCATTTTGATGTAAAATGAATTTAAAGGACCATATAACGCCACAACTTTCTATATGAGAATTGTATGCAAAAATTAATCGTATAGCTTCACTCTAACAAAGCACAAAATCAAAAACAAACATCAGTTAAAAAGCTCAAGCAGAAAAAAACAATCGATTAGCTGAATTATATGGGTAAGCACTTGCATATTTCAGATCCTCTGTTTTCACAAACAAAGAAGATGACGACGACTAAGAAAGGTAGATGTGGGAGCTCCTTTCACCCATTTCTAGAAGCCGCTTTAGAGAGATATTCCGAAGATGTATATAACTTGAATGATTGGAAGAATCTCTAGCAGTAAACTCAGCTACGACATCCTCTGCTCATCACCAATTCAAACGGTTCCAAAAGCCGCAAAATAGCAACACAGGTGCATGTTCAAGAATCCTTGGAAATAATATCACTTGCTAATTGTGGGCTTTGGTCCATTCTTAGAAGATATGATGGAAGAAAATATGGGATCACAAATGCCAATCCCAAGCAAAGCAATACCAAAATTGCAACCCACCAGGCAGCTCGGGGGATGCCTAACAATAGTTCATCACAAACTGCCATGAAAAAAGTATTGTATTACAAAATCATTAGAGGTGTTGACATGAGAATGGTGAATGTCTAACAAAAATTAATGGAAGTGAATGTTTAGAAAGCAAAGATAACAAAATGACACAAGAATGGCAACAATGGGGACAACACATATGGAAATATCAGCAACAAGCATATATACCATATTTAAGCCTGGTGAACACCATTGGCTAAAACACAAATTAAATTTAAAAAATAAAAATAAATAAATAAAACACCATTAAATCAGTAAAAATACCAATGAAATGAATTGTTACAACTACTTCTTTCATAACTTGGGAAATCCCAGAATAGAACTCAAATAAATTATCATACCAGAATAGAACTCAAAGTGGTTACAATTTAGGAAATCCAAGAACTTGTAAACTATTATGCTCTAAGTAGTTCCCACTTTCTCTATTGGCTCCAGCTCAACTGTCTAGTCAAAACTAGGTTCAGATTTCATAGGACTGTAAATTAGGCAGCTTCAGTCAGGCTGGAGGACTGTCCAGGCTTTGCTCGGGTTACCAAGCCCAAGCCAAGAATAATTTGTAAAATCTCAGGTGGACCGATAATGGTAGGTTTTGGGGGGGGAGAGAGAGGGAGAGGGATGGCCTCAACTTTGAAAGCAGCCTTTCTTTGCCACATCCAATTGCATGTTGCAACATAGATTCCCATCCTGCAGTAGCTAGTACTCATCTCAAACCCTCCAGACATACATACATATATATATATGTGCATGTACACGTTTTTATATCATAGCTTATGTTTCTGGGTTCTCTCTTTTATCATCCTATATCTTAACACACTGTCCAAGCCCTAAAAGTTTTCAGTTTGGGATCAGATTCCTCGGTTTCGACCTGCCCAAGTTGTAGCCCAAAGGTTTTACAGCATCATACTTGAGTAGACCAAGAAAATCAAGAAACACATTTTTTTTTCTGGTTTAACTATGAATCTTATGATTTATTTATTATTATCATAAAGTTCCGTAATGAATTAGAGATCCAGTTTCACAACTTGGAAGTTTGGGTATAACATTGTGTGGCTCAAGCGGAGAACATTAGCTCAGGGCAAGGAAAAAGCATCTTCTAAGCATTAACTATCTGAAGTTTGTGTTCAGGGATTAACTGGTACGGAGCCCTCGGAGAGGTGTCCGTGCTTCATAGAATGAAACTAAATGAAGACGTTCCCAGGAAATTTACTGTCTGTAGTGCTATTAGGTCCACTCAAATTCATTACCGTCTTTACTCCAAAGATATAAGGCCATTACAAGGATCTTCTCAAATTAACCTAATTTGCAAAAGAGAAAAATGGCACGAATTACATAGAAGGAATGGAGAATTATTTATCAGATATAAATAACACTCATTTTCCATCTCTAAATAATTTCTTGAGCACAATGAGAACTGAGGAGAGGAATGCTTAAAATACCCAAAACTAGGATATTAAGATATTCACTACTAAAATTGTGTCACAACAATAGAGTTGAAGAAACCTTGTAGCCCCTTGGTTCACCAGATGATGAAAAACACTAGGCTAACTTTCATCACCGATTATATATAAAATATAATCCACCTTAGAGCCTTTGGCTATTGGTTGTATTGAAAATGCAAACTGGCATCAAACTTTCTATAAGAAATTATAGAACTTTGTAATTGTTGTCATGACCATATAGACTGTAAATCTGCCAGCCACCACGTAAAATTACAGCATACAACTTTGTCAATGTGGAGTTCAAAGCAGCGAATTTAAAGAGAAAACCACAACACTAGTAGGTTACCATATACAACTTAAATTACTTCTGAAGGACTAACGTAGCTCAAGTAGCAACTAACAGTAGTAAACAGATTCATGAAAATTTTCCATCTTATCTTTGGAATGTTACTTGCATGATCAAACATGATTGTATCAGGTGATCTTAGTCCTATATGTGCCACTGCAGATTTTTTTTTTTGAATTTATATCTGAATATAGCAGTTAATAATGTTACAAAAGCAATCATTTGGAAAGAAGGTTTTTGCTTTTGAGAAAGCATTATCTTGTCATCAATTTTCATTTTTTGATTTTTTATTGAATCTTCTAATGCTCCGTGTATATGTATTATGTAATGCAAGTTTGATATGCTATCAAACAGCTAAGTTTGCCCTAAAAACCTTGAACTCTTTCTTTCATAAATGCAGCACAACCTCCAACACTCCAACTAATAAATTAGTTTCTGTAAGCATTAAAAAATAGCAACTTAATCTTTTGTGTACTAATGAAATGTTAACAGATAAGTGGAATTAATATATATATATATATATATATCACACCTCCATGCCAACAAATTTCAAATGACACCCAAAAAAAATCCTCGAGAAGAAACCAAAATTAGCTAAATTATCATAGACACACTGGAATGAGATACTTCTGATGAGTGGAAATAAGCTGGAGTTTTTAACCAACAATCCTTATCTCATGGAGAAAGCAAGAATATAGTTTATGGAATCAAGAAATCGGTCTCCATCAATTTTATTTTCAAATTTCATCGATAGGAGATGTTTTGGAAGTACAAATAAAAATAACCTGTTGCCATAAGCTGTGTGGACAATCATATATGGCATGCAATTATCTAAAAATGAATTTCGAAGTTACCTATGTTAAAAATGACTTCTTTTCTCTCTTGTACGTTTGGTATTGCAACAACCCCCTCAGGCTCCACAGTCACAAGGACAAACATTACACCCTGAGCAAAGCTCTATATCAAATTATTTTCAAAACAAATAGCGGTAATTATTAGGCAATATGACGTATTGTCAAACCTGGTCGCTTGAGAAGTCCAGATTATCAGTTTTGAAGATTAACTTTTCGGTGTTGAGTAATTTTCTTCCCCGCTTCTGCCCTAAGCTTGAATTACCTCTTGTCAACCGTAGAGAAAAGCTCGTGGGTATCTATTAGTCCAAAATAAATAAAGGGTAAATTTTCACAAGAAAAAAGTTGAAAAAAACAAAAAGAATAAGTTTCATCATACATACAGAAGCTGGATATGATATCTTCACTTCATACCACATATGTGATTTAAGCCCTTCCAGTTGGTAAAGGCGAGAACCCATTTGAAATGGCAGAGTTTCTTTCCACAGCTCTTCCCCGACATTCAAAACTTTGCTATCAATCCTGTCAAATTGTATAGCAAATTAGCAATACAATACTCCTTCAATGCATAAAAGAAATCATGCTAACAAAGATATTTTAGTGTGTGAAGAGATTCCCGGTATACTTACATATCTCCTTGACTGTATGGTAGGCCACTCAAAATGAAACTAAGAATGTTAAGCAAAATCAACAAATTCCATATACACCCACGAATCATTCTGGTAAAATGGAAACCCCGTGTGGCTGAATTTTTTTGACTGGGAGCTCAAAACTGTGTATCAGTTAATTGGGGCTGTTCTTTCATTGGTTAGTGATCTGTATTGCGACAAATTAAAAGATTGCACTTTAGTTGTTACATAAACAAAAGAAAAACCAAAATTTTAAAAAAGGTACATGAATATATATATATATATATAGGTATTTCCGTACATATTACAATGTGAAGTTGTACATATAGCTGATGATGCAAAGATTGATTAATCCTGCATAAAGTGGTACAATAAGAATACATGTCCCAGAAGATACACATACATTCACGTATATATCATAGTGTAAAAAACAAAGCACAAAAGAGCACCATTACTGACAATGACATTAGTGGATCAACAAAGGCTTTCATATAGAGGCAAAACTAGCAGCAACATCAACACTACTATGCGTATCTCCAATCCTTCATCTTTTCTTTCATCAAATTTAAATTTGAGTCATTTTTTTTTTCCCATCATATTCAAATCTTTCATCAAATTTGAATTTGATGAAATTTTGAAAAGATGAAGCATTGGATTTCAAACTTTTTACTCAAAACTTACAATCAAATCAGATGAAAAAATTGGTGAATGGTTGAAAATGCTCTAATGACTGTAATTTCCATGATTAAAATCCAAAGAATGTATACTATTATCTCCGTGATTGACATATATAATACAAATTCTAATTAGTCATTCAATTCAACTTCCACTAGTTATATACACTGACCACTAATGGCACTAACAATACAGATTCTGTGCATCACTGGCTATTAAGGACCCAACAAAGGATCAATCAAAACATCGGGAGAGAGAGAGAGAGAGAGATGCTACCTTTTGGTGGTGGTGGTGGTGGTGGTGGTGGCATGGTGTTGGTGCGGTGGCGTTAAGCGGCAGTGGAGCTCGGCGCACCGCGATGTAGAGAGAGAGAGAGAGAGAGACTGAGCTAGGGCGAAGAAGAAAGGGAAGACAATTTGGAATATGGGAAACGCAACAACTACGTCGTTTGGTGAAACATTGAAACGATACCAGAATGGATGGTTGTGTCTATTACCCGTTATTCCTCTTTATCTCATATGGGCTTCATAATTATAGGAACTGGTTCTATAACCGATACAAGACTCAATGAAGCCATTTTACAAATAATTTCTCGTGAACAACTTGTTTGTTTTTACTTTTCAAAAAATTTTATTTTCTTATTTTTTATATTTTTTATATTTTTACTGAATTTTTTAAATATTTTTAGTAATTTTTTTATTTTTTAGACATACCTAACATAAATACACCTAAAAAGTATAAAAATTGTAAAAAAAATCTTTTAAAAATTCACTAAATACCAAAAATACAAAAAAATACAAGAATTCAATACATTTTTTTATATTTTTATGTATTATTAATTTTTTAAAATATTTTTTTACAAAATTTTTACTTTTTAGATACATCTAAGTAAGGTGCATCTAAAAAAGTAAAAAAATGTTTAAAATTTTAAAAAAATTTACTAAAAACAAAAAACACAAAAACCAAAAAAATTAGTTTTCAAAAAACTTAATTTAGAAAACTCAAACCAAACACACTGATTGGCAGATTGGAGAAAATCAATCCGCAACCGTCCGCTCGTCATCACGCATCCGTCCAAAATGTGGCGGATCGATTCAGTTCAGTTCGGTCAATTTTGACGGATCGATATATCTGCTGCTCACCCCTACATCATAGCATATCAAACTTCAAATAACTGCCCCCCGCATACTCAAAAGTACATTCAGTTACTTTTAATCGGAGATTGGGTTAGGCAGCCAAGAAGGAAACCGAACCTCTAAATATTCAAAGCTTACTGTTTCTATGTTTCATTGAGTTTAGATTACATACTGATTTTGTTTACCCATGGAAACAATGACAAGTCACAAAAGCCTCTCAAATCACCAAAGAAATAAATTTTCATCATTTGGCGCTTGTTTTTCGAATAGAATTAGTCTGATTATTGTTGACGACGAACCATTTAAGATCGTCTTCCTCTCTGCTATTCTTTATTGGATTCGTAACCGAAACAAATTGAATTAATTCTAAAGAAAGAGAGAGAGCGAGAGGAGAGAAAAACAAAAGGGTTAGTGGTTTTGTTTGTTGTTGGTGTTGGTAGGAAGAGAGAGGAGAGAAAAGATCAGATGGGTTGGTTAGGATTTTGATGTTAATTATGGTCATTTTAGTTTAAGGTATTATTGTCATTAATATAAAGTTTCATTAAGTGTGTGCACTGAGGTATGTGGGTGTGCGGAAATAAAATATCCCGATTTTTTTTGACTAAAAAAATTAAAAAACAAAAAAATGACTTTTTTTACTTCTTCCAAAATGCCCTAAGAGCATCTACAATGGAGCTGTTAAGGGACGTGTTAGTGTCAACTGCTAATATTTTAGCTACTGAATGGCTCAAATGATGCTCCAATGGAGCTGCTAAGGGATGTGTTAGTGTCAGTTGTTAATTTGTTTGTTAACTACAACGAGGCTACCAGCCAGCGAAGGAGAGAGCGAAGGAGAGAGCCGTTAGTTTTAATCTATTTTGAATAACATTATCTCTCATATTTTTTACATATTTTTTTATAAAAAAAAAATCAAGTAAAATCAAAAAACTAACTTTTAAAAATATTTCCAATACAACCCTTAATATATAATTTTATTCTTAAATTACACCTTGCTACCCCTAGCTAGGGGTGGAGGTGGGTCGGTTGCGACCACGGAACTTTCAATCTGTCATCCGTCTGTCAGATTGGCGGATTGAAAAAAATCAATTCACAGCCGTCCGTCAATCCAGCAGATGTGGATTGAGCGAATTGGCGGTTTGGTGGATGGATGCGAATCGGTTTGGCGGTTTGAAATTTTATAAATTTTCAACATAGTTCAACTTGTGCACTTCCTCAAAAAAAAAAAAAAAAAAGGTATTACAATTACTGCATGCATCATCCAAAGAAAGAAAGTTTGAAACTTTAGAATATCACAATCACTGCATGCCTCGTCCACATAAAATATTACAATCTGTGGTTCTTAAAATATAAAAACAATTCAAACCATCAAAACCATGAGCAGAGAATAGTAGAGATTGTATGTCTCTGTATTGTTACATTTATATATGTTTTTGAAAACAAAAACCAATCAGCATATGTTATATGTTCTATTTATTACTTTTAGAGTTAGATTTAAAAACCAAAAAATATAGATAAATAATATGTTTATTTTTTTCAATTCAAAAATTATATCCAAGTTGAAAACTTTTTTTCAACAGAATATTTGAACTCTTTTTCAATTGAAAACACAAACAAAATATTTAAACAAATTGAAAACACAAAATCTTATAAATTACTAAGGGTGCTCGAGGTTTGGCGGTTCGGTTGCGGCCAAAGGAAGTTCAAATCCGCCATCCGTCCGCCAAATTGGCGGATTGGAGATAATCAATCCGTAACCGTCCGCTCGTCATCACGCATCCGTCCAAAATGTGGCGGATCGATTCAGTTCAGTTCGGTCAATTTTGACGGATCGATATATCTGCTGCTCACCCCTACATCATAGCATATCAAACTTCAAATAACTGCCCCCCGCATACTCAAAAGTACATTCAGTTACTTTTAATCGGAGATTGGGTTAGGCAGCCAAGAAGGAAACCGAACCTCTAAATATTCAAAGCTTACTGTTTCTATGTTTCATTGAGTTTAGATTACATACTGATTTTGTTTACCCATGAAAACAATGACAAGTCACAAAAGCCTCTCAAATCACCAGAGAAAGAAATTTTCATCATTCAGCGCTTGTTTTTGGAATAGAATTAGTCTGATTATTGTTGACGACAAACCATTTAAAATCGTCTTCCTCTCTGCTATTTTTTATTGGATTCGTAACTGAAACACATTGAATTAATTCTAAAGAAAGAGAGAGAGCGAGAGGAGAGAAAAACAAAAGGGTTAGTGGTTTTGTTTGTTGTTGGTGTTGGTAGAAAGAGAGAGTAGAGAAAAGATCAGGTGGGTTAGTTAGGATTTTGATGTTCATTATGGTCATTTTACTTTAAGGTATTATTGTCATTAATATACAGTTTCATTAAGTGTGTGCACTGAGGTATATGGGTGTGTGGAAATAAAATATCCCGATTTTTTTTGACTAAAAAAATTAAAAAACAAAAAAATGACTTTTTTTACTTCTTCCAAAATGCCCTAAGAGCATCTACAATGGAACTGTTAAGGGACGTGTTAGTGTAAGCTGCTAATATTTTAGCTACTGAATGGCTCAAATGATGCCCCAATGGAGCTGCTAAGGGATGTATTAGTGTCAGTTATTAGTGTCAGCTGTTAATTTGTTTGTTAATTACAACGAGGCTTCTAGCCAGCGAAGGAGAGAGCTGTTACTTTGTTTTTTGGTCTTACCGGTTGACCGGTCAACGGTAATTTTTTTTTTTTTTTAAACTTGTTGGGATGTTTTTTTTGGACTTGAAATTTAATTTTGGGCTTGAAATTTTTGATTAAACTAAATTATTTATTTATTTTATTTATTATTTACACACACACACATATATATATATATATATTTAACATACACCTTAACATACCCCTTAACACATCCATTGTACCACCATTTATTTACTATTCACCCACTAAATTAACAAACTCTTAACACATATTTTTAAGTCTCACTTTTAATACTTTTGGTCATATAACACACTTTAGCGCATCATTTTAACGCATGCCCTAAGTCAAATTCTGTCCCACATAGTAACATCAATCAAATTAAAATATTAAAAAAAAAAAAGTGCGATTCAAACAAGACATGTTAATTCAAAGCATTACCAACATAGCCAAAGCAGACTCACCCAAGCTTCTCAATCTCTGCCACAATGAGTTTGAAGGAAAAGTCCCGGAATCAATCGGAGGATCAACAGAGCTTTTGAAGATCCACCTCAGCTCAAATCGATTTTTTGGGAAAATCCCAGAAAGCTTGAAGAATTTGAGAAATTTGGAGTTTCTAGACATGGCTTATAATCGATTTTGCACAAGAGAAAGAGAAACGAGAGAATGAAAGGGAGAACTACCGTGGCAAGCGCCGACGGAAATCGCCGCCACTAGGTCGTCGCCGTCACAAATCACCTATGTTGGAGTGAGAGAATGAGACAGAGTGAGAATGAAAAACCTAGCTGTATATGGGGAAATGGGCGGGTACCCATCCCCAACCCATCCCTGATACAGATTTAACCAATATCACATTTTAGTCAAAAAGTTACTAAAAAAACTTGTTTCTAAATGAGGCCTAAGTGGTATTTTGGGAAGTTGATAAAAAGTTGACTTTTTGATTTTTTGACTTTTTTTGTGACTTTTTTGGCAAAAAAGCTAACTTCTTTAGCTAAAAAAATTGACTTTTTTGAGAAATTTTGTTTTCACACACTTACTTAACTCAGTGTACATCATTTCTCAATGCACACACTTATAAATTTGATTAGATATTATTTGTATCATTCCATACACCACATCAAATATTATACACATACTTTCCACCCAACTCCACGATCTGTTTACTAATTCTAAATTCATCACTTATGATTTCTCTGTAGGTCACTCACTCCAATTGATTAGATTTTAAATTTTCCTTCTGGATTTGTTTTCTCAAATCCACATATATAACTATATATGTGTGTTTGTGCTTGATACAGTGGTATAGATAACTTTGGCTCCTTTTGGGAAGTGGGTTATAATATCTCTCACAAAAAAACTGCTTATAAATAGCTTATAAGCAGTTTTTAATTAAAAAACTGATTATAACCATCTTCTCAAAATAGCCATTTGTGGACATTCTATGCTAGATTTAATTATGAATTTTTTTGTCTCTATAATAAATTGGTACTTTTTTTTTGAGAAAGTTCAAACAAACCCAAACAATTCTTATTGTAATTTCTAGGTTCATTATGCATCATAGCATATCAAACTTCAAATAACTGGCCCCTAGCATACTCAAAAGTACATTCAGTTACTTTTAATCGGAGATTGTGTTAGGCAGCCAAGAAGGAAACCGAACCTCTAAATATTCAAAGCTTACTGTTTCTATGTTTTGTTGAGTTTAGGTTACATATTGATTTTGTTTACCCATGAAAACAATGACAAGCCACAAAAGCCTCTCAAATCACTAGAGAATTAAATTTTCATCATTCGGCACTTGTTTTTCAAATAGAGTTGGTCTGGTTATTGTTGACGACGAACCATTTAAGATCGTCTTCCTCTATGCTATTCTTTATTAGATTCGTAACCGAAATAAATTGAATTAATTCTAAAGAGAGAGAGGAGAAAAAAAACAAAAGAGTTTGTGATTTTGTTTATTGTTGGTGTTGGTAGAAGGAGAGAGAAGAGAAAAAATCAGATGGGTTGGTAAGGATTTTAATATTTATTATAGTCATTTTACTTTAAAATATCATTGTCATTAATATAAAATTTTATTAAATATGTACACTGAAATATGTGAGTGTGTGAAAAGAAATTTTTCTAATTTTTTTAACCAAAAAAATTAAAAAGCAACAAAAACGACTTTTTTAACTTCTTCCAAAACTGCCCTAAGTCAAATTCTGTCCTATACAGTAACATCAATCAAATTAAAATACTAAAAAAAAGTACGATTCAAACAAGACATGTAAATTCAAGGGGCATTTCCATAAATAAGTCAAAATACTAAATCAATTCTCAAACTAAGCCTAGTTTTGAAAGAATTCCCAAAATAAGCTAAATCGTGGTTCACAACCACGATTTCAACATATATACGCCTGTCTCGCGTGAAGTTTGGGAAATCTTAAAATCGTGGTTACAAAACGCACTTTTAATTAAGAAATCGCGGTTAGAAAAAGCGCTTTTAATTATTTTTTTTTTTTCTTCTGAACTTGCTGTTCTAAACCACGATTTTAGCCAAAATGTAGAAACATGTTTTGAAAACACGTTTTTAACGCAAAACCACGCTCAGCTTTCAATTCATCAAACACACACAAACACTCTCTCTCCCTCTGACAACCCCACGCACAAACATCACTCACACTCAATATATATATATATAATTTAATATATATATATATATGTTCTTATATGAAAATCTATAAAATCTGTTCGGTTTGGGTTCATTACGGTTACATTTCACATATTTCGGGCAGATATATATCTGTTCTTATATATAAATCTGTTCGGTTTGAAGGCAGATATATGTATATGCTCTTATATTTTCATGTAGATCAACCCATGGTAAAAAAAACAGTCATATTCATATTCAACCTGTTCTGTTCTTGGCACCTGTTCTGTTCAAAACAGTCTGTTCTGTAATTTTTTTCTTCTTAGAAGTCACATTGCAAATTATCAATTTCAGATCGCAATTTCACATTTATGGCATTCAACTGCTGACTGATGACATCAATTCTATGAATGAATATCAATTTCTGTTACAAAATTCATTTGATTACTTATCACTGTCATGATAAACTTCATTTATCATATGTCAATTACCTATTGATGAGTTATGAAATGGTCTGTCAATGAATAAGGAAAACACATGATCTGAATGGGTTCTGTCATTTGTGAGTCAATGCTGGAGACGATCTCCATCTGTGAAATACCTATTGATTTGAAGAAAATTGAATTACCTATTGATTTGTTAATAGTGAAAAAAATGTCTCCATCTCTCTTCCAAAAAACACTCCTCACAGGCAGTCTTGATTCTTAAACAAATGACACATTTTTGGGTTATCGTTATTGAACATCACTTCTTCAAACACTGTTACCTTCATTATGTTACATGCGGATAAGACCCTCTGCTTTCTTCATTCATATCAGTCTTCATTGAAAGCTAATACAGAAACCAGTTCAATATAACTCTTTCTCAGTTGATGTAGTCTAAGTATATATAAATTAATGCTGTATTTTTCATTAAAAAAAGTAAGTCTAATTTGTGTGTGCATGTGGAGACAAACTTTAATCTTCAAAATTATTGATATCAATACACTGTTCGGAAATTTCAAAAAACATCAGAAGATAATAATAATAATAATAATAAAATATCATCTAACGTCAAGTACACTTGTATTGTGTTCACCCTAACCTATCCAAGTTTATCGCCCCCACTCTACGTGTTGAGAAGTTTTTTGGTAGTGTTTGTCAAGCTATTTCTTAAATAAAAAAAATATATATATATATTAAGACCTCATTTCGAAATATATTTTTTTTTAGTAATTTTTTAATTTTTTAATTAAAATATGATGTAAAAAAAAATTAGTATATGGATATAATCTAATTTTTTATCTTGATCTTTAATTATACTACGATTATTACGGAGATGATCTATAGATGAAATAAAAAGATTACTAATTTTATCTATGTCCTTTTTAATATTTTCTGCAAAATTAATCTGATAATCTATGATACTATTTAGCTGAGGATTATGTTCACTATGAAGCTGATGTGTAAAAGTTTCTTCAAAATTACAACGAAAATTATTTTTATTTATGCTAAAGCGACGGTTATGGCTGCTGAGTTCTAAATCTAGATACTCTACTTTTTTCATATACAAAATTAACTCCTACAATAAAATTATTACAAGCTACTATAATATGAAATTTATAACTAAAATCTCCAAAAATAAAAACTACTCTATTACCATAAGCAAAATGCATAAACTAATTTAAACTGTCCTAAAACTGAACACTGCTCTGATACCAATTTTTTGGGTGGGGTTGAGTTAGTGGTTTACCACTATTTTGAAATTGGGCTGAGAATTATCTGACTAATTCTACAGTTATGCTAGACTATAATCTTCCTTAGTATTTCCTAAGGCTATCTTATGTGTCATATTTAATTTTTTTAGACAGACTACACAATAAGTTATGCTGCATAATAAACATTGAGCTCGTTTATCTTTGGCTGGAAACCAATTACAATAGCTGCATCTAGTGGTATCAAATCCTAATCCTATTTGAAAGTTATGCTAACATTCCGTATCTGGATTACACTCCATCATAAAGAAAGTTTCTTGGGAAGGTGTTAGTCCTATTTCTTGGTTGAGTTGTCCTAAAAGATTATCTATATTAGTATCACTTTCTGAATCACTATCTGAACTTATGGCTTCTATTTGATATTCATAATCGCTAACTATACTATATATTTCTGAATCATCACTAGTTATGCTAACTATATCTTCTTCTAAGTCTTCTATAATATGCAGTCTTTCTATCTGTTTATTAGTATTTGGTCTTTGTCTTTTTGAGCAGTTCTTTGCAAAATGATTGGGTTCTCCACATATAAAACAATTGCATTTTTTACTGCTAGGTTTTCTAACATATTTTTGTTTTCTCTTATCTTTTTCTTCTCTGGGTAATTTCTTATAATTTGACCTATTAAAAGTTCTACTTTTTCTAATGAATTTTTGTTTTTTCCATGGTTTTCTATAATTTTTCTTCCAATATTTCTCTTTTCTATATTTTCCATATTTTTTGTATTTTTTCCTATTATGTTCATCTTCATATTGCTGAGGAGTATATATTACGCTACTACAAAAGCCGTAACTTTGTTTTTTCAAGTCTTTCTGTATTTTAACTTCTATACATTTTTCTTTGAGCTTATAAAATGTAAAAATTATTCTAGGTCCTATTCCTAAAGTTCTTCTTATTCTTAATTCTCTAGTAGCTATTCTTGCTGGTAAACTTGCATAATAAACTGACCATTTGTTTTCTATTTTGAGTGTGAGTGATGTTTGTGCGTGAGGTTGTTAGTGGGAGAGAGTGTTTGTGTGTGTTTGATGAATTGAAAGCCGAGCGTGGTTTTGTGTTGAAAACGTGTTTTCAAAACACGTTTCTACATTTTGGCTAAAACTGTGGTTTAAAATAGCGAGTTCAGAAGAAATTTTTTTTTGGATAAAAATGTGATTTAGAACAGCGAGTTCAGAAGAAAAAAAATAATTAAAAGCGCATTTTGTAACCGCGATTTCTTAATCAAAAGCACGTTTTGTAACCACGATTTTAAGACTTCTCAAATTTCACGCGAGACAGGCGTATATATGTTAAAATCGTGGTTGTGAACCACGATTTAGCCTATTTTAAGAATTCTTTCAAAACTAGGCTTAGTTTGAGAATTAATTTAGTATTTTGACTTATTTAGGAAAATGCCCCTAAATTCACAGCATTACCAACATAGCCAAAGCAGACTCACCCAAGCCTCTCGATCTCCGCCAAAATGAGTTCGAAGGAAAAGTCCCGGAACCAATCGGAGGATCAACAGAGCTTTTGAAGATCGACCTCAGCTCAAATCGATTTTCCGAGAAAATCCCAGAAAGCTTGAAGAATCTGAGAAATTTGGAGTTTCTAGACATGGATTATAATCGATTTTGCACAAGAGAAAGAGAAACGAGAGAATGAGAGAGAGAACTAACGTGGCAAGCGCCCACGAAATCGCCGCCGCTAGATCGTCGCCGTCACGAATCGCCTATGTTGGAGTGAGAGAATGAGAGAGAGTGAGAATGAAAAACCTAGCTGTAGGCAGGGATATGGGAAAATGGGCGGGTATCCATCCCCGACCCATCCCTGATGGGGATTTAACCAATATCACCTACCCGACCCAACGGGTAGAAAAAATGGAGAAACTCCATATATTTAGGTCGGGTCTCATGGGTATCCACTGGATAAGTTATCCGTTGCCATCATAGATAGGAGAAGTAGGGAGAAATGGGGTGCTGTGAGTTGCTACTTCTCCAAACCACCATTAATATGGGAAGCAGAGCTTTGCTTCTTCTCAGACCAACAACATCGACGAAGGACTTGTATTTCAAAGGCCGCTTTTTATCAGAAGCCCTTATTCCGGAGAAGAGGAGGATCCGAAGCTACTCGGTTCGGTCTACAATTCACCCCCCTGATTTGCCTCGTTTGGCCGAAACTGCTCGCATCTCTCTCACCCCAGATGAAGTATGGTCCTATATCATAATACCCATTTTAATTTTACATAGAATTTATATATATATATATATATATCTTCATATGTTGTTCACATGGTGTTTTAATATGCAGGTTGAAGAGTTTGCTCCAAAAATTCAACAAGTGGTAGATTGGTAACCCCTCTGTATCTGGTGTGGTTGAATTGAAAGTGTTTTTGTGATTACATGTGTGTTTGTTTTGTGCCTTTGAATGTTATATATGAACAACTTTAATCAAATTTGAGTCTTGTGAACTCAAGTAGATGTGGCAGATTCATATGTTGTTTCTCTGGTTATAGACTATGAAATTCAAACCATATAATTTGGCTTAGCTAAATTCAAATAAGGAGTACAAGTCATAAGTATTTTCACATTATTCAAACCATTCAATTTGGTGTAGTTTCGTCCATATAGTTTTCAATTTAAGTCAAATTGGTCCAATTACAAATGAACCACCCAAATCATTACCAGAATGGCAATAAAATAAATTTACATTATTTAAAGTATGTGTTCCATGTTACTTTGGTTTCCAAAGTTTTTAATTTTGTTAATTTTGTCCCTAAACACTGATGGAGAAGAAGTACACAGCTTTACAGTGTTTAGAGATGAACTTAAAAAAAGGAAAAACTTTGAAGGCCAGAGTGACGCAATGCATATTTTAAGGACCATAGGTGAATTTTAGTATGATTCTGTAAATGATTTAGATGACCATCTCAAATTGGGTTAATTTCACTCAAATTGAAATTTTTAGGGACAAATTGAAACTTGGAGATGATTGGTGTATTTTATCCATATTTTCACACAATGTCAAGAGGAATCTGTTGAGTGCCAAACTGTTATAATGGGAAAGTTTGTGCAAACCTAGGAGTTGATTCTTTTATTGTCTGGTTAGACTTGTGCATTTGTCAGATTTCTTTGAACTGCAACTATTTTTCTTCTTTTCTTATTTATTTTCTTTTTTCTTTGGTTTTGGAATTGTTACCCTGATTCATGATTTGTTTGTGCTTTATGTGGAGGCTCAAATGGAGATTTAAACAATATCACCTACCCAACACAACATCATTGCTTTGATAATGTGTACAGTGTTGTACTTAATTTCTTTTAAATTTCTATTTTCCATGGAAAGCAATACGTTGGCAGGCAGCTGTTTTGATATGATGAACCGCATGATTTTTTACGCTTCCTATTTTACTATATTCAACCCTATCCATGAAAACTTTTTGGGTCTATTTTGCAATTTTGATGAAAGGGAATTTCTATGTGCTTATGTTTTCACACTGCATTTTGTTTGATAATAGGTTTGGACAACTTCAAGCAGTTGATCTCCAAAGTATTCAGCCAGCCATTGGGGCAGGTGGGTGGAACACTTCAATGAGAACTTGATGTTGTGGCATGATGAATTATTTGGTCATGTAAATACTTTCTACTTTCTGTATATGATTACAAATGCACTGAAACATGAGAGGATCCATAAGACCAGTTTTTTCCCTTTCCTAACAAAGCCAACAAAGAGACCGATTAGGTCACTAAGGCATTGCAGACATTATTATAATTATTCAAGATAAGTCGTATATAATTTTGTAATTCCTGATTCTTGGTTTCTGTTGTTTAGGTATTGCCCAAAAGAAAAAGTTATTTTGAGCACACAAAATTCATTGCCCATTACATAATGCATTTTCATGTCGCTGATTAACCCATTGATCCTCTGTGAAATATGTTCCTGATTTTGTTTACTCACATGGACAGGCAACCATGTCTTTTATGTATCTTTACAATGGTTTGCGCATAAGCTAGTATTGGGAGTTTCCTTTAAGTGTAGTGTAGCTAAATGGATAGTTTTTGATTGGATGTTGCTAAAATTCTCAACTGCATCTGTAGATACTGAAGGTGAAAATTTGCGTGATGATATGCCTGAAACATTTGAGAACAGGTAAAGGGGTTTCAATTATTTACTCCTTGATTGTAGCTTTGTACTATGATGTTTGATAAACAAGCAGTAATTCATTCAATCTAAGTTCAGCTTTGTTCTTTGACAGGGATGCCATGATAGCCGCTGTTCCAAGCTATGAGGAACCATTTATCAAAGTTCCCAAAGTCCTGAACAAGGAGTAATGCTGTTTAGGTAATTCTTTAGCGAATAAGTTGGTCTGTGGAAACCAAATGGAAATGATACTTTCCATGCTCTGTTTTTTCCATAGTTAGCTAGCAGTTTTGTGTTGTCTCTCTATTAGCTAGCAGTATTCATATTGTCTCTCCCTTGTTTTTAGAAACAACTGAATTAGAGAATCATTTTAGATATGAATTTGTGCCCTACATATAATAAATTCCACATAATTGAATTTTTAGGTATCATTGTGTGCATTTGTAGGTATCAGTATTCAACTGAAAAAAGGTTAGGAACCTAGGGCACTGTGGCATGACTAAGAAAAAGGAAGAATGTGTAGCTGTGTTTTTGAAATTTTTAAAGGACTCTATTGCATTGTCAGACTCTAGTGTGAATTCTACAAGACTGGATTTGTATTGGTCGGTCATAGGAATTCATGGTTGACAATGTTCCAATTTTTTCTTGGGTTGAGTCCAATTTTATGAGACTGGTAATGAGGCAACATCAAGCTAGTGTGTGCATATAAATAAACATAAAGCAAATTGTGCTTAGATTAGACTCACTTTGTGCCCATTTGATTTATCGCTCATTGCAAAATGACTCCATTGTGGAGATTACATTTGTTGCTAACATCCAGTGGAGGATTGTGGTTATAATGAGTCACTGATTTCTTTTTATCACGATTTTGTTTCGCTTTTTACTATGTTATACAGAGAAGGAAGAGGAATTCGCTCAAAGCACGTGTGTGACACCTCAAGAATGGCGGTAATTTGATTCAAAGAAATTTTTATTTCCTTTTTAGGCAGAACAATTTGTGGGATTAAACTGAACCATGTAATTTGCCTGTAATGTTAAGCATTCAACAATAGAGGAAAGATCTTTAAATGACGCAATGATGATTTTGGCTTCCGTTACATGCTCTTGTTTTTTTTTATTTTTTATCGACCAACTTTTTTTTTTAAGAGGAAATGGTATTCACGCACAACTTGGCATGAATTGTCTAGTAATTCATGCATGAGGTTTATGTTTCCTTTTTTTAACAATGCTACAAAACACAGAAATTTTTCACATAATGCGCGGCTTATACTAGGATGCATATAGTGTTGCCAATATTGCATTATGTGCAGCTTTTTATTAAGTTTATATGTTTCTATTGTAATTATTAGTGAGAAGGTAATTTTTTTTCCCTTCATGTTTTTCTCTTGAAAATTGTCCTCCAAGGGAAGCAATATTTAAAACTAGAGATCAAAGAGTACAATATTAAACTAGATGATCGTCTATTTAAGAAACTTTAACACATATTCGCAAGTTTAAACCAATAACCACAATATCAATATAAGAAATAAATAAACAACTTAAAAAAGAACCTCTAATACGATATAAATAATCAATCTTTGTCTTCGACAATGCTTACCCCCAAATTGTTCAATTAATCTTTGTCTTCGACAATACTTGATCCCAAATTGTTCAATTTGACAATGCTTACCCCCAAATCGTTCAATTAATCTTTGTCTTCGACAATACTTGATCCCAAATCGTTCAATTAAAAGTGCATAAGAATGGTCAACTGATGCTGGGACACATTTCTCTTTATCATGTAGAAAAAGATCAATTGCTGATAATGAAAGGGCCCCCTCAGTTCATACAGGTTCTATTGGGCACCTGGTAAATGAAAACATTGTTCCAAAGTGCATTTAATTCTCTATACTGGTCTAAATGATCAAATTGAAAACCTAACAACAATCTCAGAAAGCCATACCCGCTAAGTATTGTAATTTCATAACTTCCAAGAAAATGAGATGTGTTCTAATACACAAACATATTAAGCTGTCATCAAAAGATCATACGACAGTTTGAAGGGGCAAAGAACTTTCAACTTCCTCGGTGGCAGAACTCCTTTCCGCAACTATTTTTGACATTCCATACATCTGAAAATCAACTCAATTGATATTAATCAGCATCAAACAATGAAGAATATACAGAGTACCCAGACTTGAGCATTTTGAGCTTATTTTGAGTTCTGTGGGTTGAAAAAGCAAAAATAAACTGAGAACCAATGAAGTTTTGCCAAACAAAAATGGTTTAAGCATGTACTTCCAAAACTTCAGTTAAAAAAAACTGAAATTTAATTTTATGAAATGGGTATTATGGAGCAGGATCTAACCTTCTGGATTGTCTTCTTAAAGCAATTCTTGTGTTCATCCATTGATGCATGAATAAACTCATCAATGTGATCCATTGACGGTCTTATAAAAGTGTAGTCAGGTCAGTAATATTCGTACTAATATTTAATTGGGTCAACAGAAAATTAATTTTAAATTTGGATTGAAACTCTTAAAAAGTCATTTATAAATTATGTTTGAATGACAAAAATCTTGAGGAGGAATGACAAAATCATTACTGTGTCAATGTTATTAAAGCAATTGATTTTGTTAGGAATCCTTAATGAGAAAATAACGAAATTTTAAATATTACGAGCTCAATTATTATTTTTACTCTTGGTAAATATTCTTTCAAGAATGTGAGATGCTCAAGGGAAAGTGACATAATCAAATTTTTACATAACTTGAGAATGTGATTCCAGTTGAAATAGATGATCAGGAATCACTTCTCATTCTAATTCATTCCAAATGCTGGAATTATAGAGATCCGGAATCATTTTCATTCCCCTCAAGATTAATGTCATTCAAATATAGCTTAATTTACTTACATTCACATAACAAAGTACATGTCAAATTTTAATTTGTTATAAATTCAATCACGAGAGCTTCTCCATTGCATGTCAATGTGGATGAATTTAGAATCTAAATTATGAGTCTTTAATATTCCTCTTTAAAATTTTGTTTTAAACTTTGACCACTTGAAAAATATAAAATAGTTGAAAGAATAGTGATACACAAACATAAAAATTCTATAATAATATGGTTTGTTGTGATCCTTTAACTTAAAAACATAGTAATCATTGTGTACACATATGTGATTATTACATCATTCTTAAACAAATTGATTTGGCATTTTCATAGTTTAAATATATATTTAAATTGAAGATAATATTTTCTTATTCAGGCCAATCTAAAAATTTTGTTGGCCGATTGAGGCTTGGTTTGGGAAGTAGGTTGGCTTTTTGGCTTTTTTGGCTATTTTAGCCTGGGCTAAAAAGCTTGGTTTGGGAAGGGCTTTTTGGCTTTTTGACTTTTTTGACTTTTTTTGTGAGAGAAGAATGTAATGATTATAGGTTGGATGTGATGTTTTGTTTGTTATGGCTAAAATAGCCTATTTTGTTTTTTGTGGCTAAAATAGCCAAAAAAGCCTGAAAACCATCTTGCCAAACAGAGGCTGAGTTTGTTTTGTTTTAAAATCACAATGAAATAATTAAATTATTTTTACTAGCCAATCAACTTAGCTCGATCAAATTAAATTTATCATTTAATGAGATCTAATCTATTCTTAGTTCCTTCCCTGACTGATTCCAAGACACCATTCTCATGATCCACTTCTAGCGCGATATTCTGAATATTTGGGATTGTGAGACCCAAACTACCAACTTCTCAACCAAAAAATATTTTAGTAATTACAAAAAATTTCCTTAGTTTTTGGATTGGATAAGATATCATTCATTGGATGACATGATAAAAATAAGTGAAAATTAGTTAATTTTCTATTTTAGGTTATTACATGATAAAACCTCTCAACTTCACACATTCACCCCAAGACAAATTATAAATTCAGTTCCCTTGTCCTTTGTTCTCCTCATAGCAATGTGCATCCCTTCCATGCAGCTTCCCTCTGCATAACATATATAGAAATCTCTCTTTCTCTCTCTTCTAAAGACTCTCTCTCTATCTCTCTCTCTCCTCTTCCATTCTCAATCAAGATGGCTGGAGCTGTTGCAGGTACAGAGATAAACAATCATATATCCAACAAAATCAGTTGATAAATAAATAATGATATTAAAAATACAATAAATTATACATTGTTTTCTTTATTTTCTCATTTGACTCTTAAAAAAAATTTCTCCCCACTTTGGCGTCATATTTTAAGTATTCCAATTTACTTTTAAAACTAATTTCTATTAAAAATTAGTTAGAAAATACCATGTTGGTTGTCAGATGACATAAAAAATATATATTATTATACTTAAATTTGAATTTTTTGTTAAGAGTATGAGTTATATATAATAAAATATTTTTACATCACATAACATAACTGTCAATGTATTATTTTTTGTCTAATTTTGGGCATAAGATAACTTTTAAAATAAACTGAAAAAAACTTAAAACATGAACGCCAAATTAAAGTTTAAAATAAATAAATAAATAAATAAATAAACTTCAAAGACCAAAAACCAAGTATAATTTATCTTTAAAAATATAAAATCTTAGTACGTAGTAGGTGATACAATGAATAACAACGGACATTTGAAACTCTTAATATATTCATAAACAAATTTTTTGTTTTCACCGAAACTAAAATGTTTTGATCTCTTTGTTCATGGTGGAATTTATTAGTGGAAACAAACAAAGATGAGGGCTTCAATGCTCCAGACAGCAATGCTTTCGGCCATTCTTTCAGGTCATTCCTCTCTCTCTCTCTCTCTATTGATTATTTCTTTAAAGAGAAAAAAAGAAAAGAAAAGATATATTTAATTATCAAATGGTGTAATATAAACATAATTTTTACAGAGACTATGACAAGGAGAGTGAGAGAAGAGCTGGTGTGGAAAATTTCTACAAGACTAACCACATCAATCAGACTTACGAATTTGTAAGTTTCTTTTTTTTTTTTCTTTCTTCCATTGACAACACTATGTCATAAATAAAATTTTCACCAAAAATATGTGCAACATTATAGAGATTCATTTGTGATATAATCACAAATGACATTGAATAACTTTCATCATTACACATTATTAAACAGTAATGCTAAAAGGTGCAATGAAAATTTGCATAAAAACTCAAAATGTGACGACATTCATTGTAAGTCTTTGCTAGGCAACAATTAAAAAAATCATTTTTTTCTTAAATTTTTTATTTTTAGTCCTCCGTCAAATCTAGAATGATTTTTTTTTATTGGAAAAAATCTAGTAGGATCTAAAAGTGTTTTTTTTTAAAAAAAAAATAAACAAACAAACAAAAACAAAAACAAAGTGTATGAGTGGCTACATCTGATAGATTTATAATGATGATGATGACGGAAAGAGAAGGTAACCAAGAAGAAAGAGGAGTTTGAGAAACTAAACAGGGCAAAAATGAGCATATGGGAATGCTGCGAGCTTTTGAATGAAACAGTGGATGAGAGTGATCCCGATCTTGATGAACCCCAGATTGAGCATCTTCTTCAATCCGCTGAAGCTATTAGGAGGGACTATCCCGATCAAGATTGGTTGCACCTCACTGCACTCATTCACGGTAATCTCCACAATGCTATCACTATTAATAACTGTTCGTTCGGCTCAGAGTTTCGAGATTAGTCGAGATACACGTCCTAAAAAAATACTGGCCCGAATAGTCGGTTATCAAAAAAAAATAATAATAATTCAAACACAGACAAAATAATATATACTTCAATTTAAAACTTATAGTCCATATATGTTCATATACAGATCTGGGCAAGGTTTTGCTGCACCCCAAGTTTGGAGCTGAGCCACAATGGTGTGTTGTTGGTAAGTAGTGTTTAATGATGTTTGGGATTTTAATATTGGAGGCCATTCCATTCGATGGTATGGATTGAATTTTTGACAACTTTTAGTTCATGATGATATTAATAGGTGATACCTACCCACTTGGATGTGCTTTTGATGAGTCCATTGTCTATCATAAGGTACACCCCTACCCCTTCATTGTCTATGTGTCAAGAAGCCCACCAATCTAATCAAATTGAAGCCTTTACAAATATCCTTTTTTTCAAAAAAAAAAAAAAAAATTGTTGTTTAATAATATTTTTTGTCTTTAATAAAAATAAATCATTTAATATCAAAGATTTTTGCTTTTTTGGCTTTGCACACGTAAAAATAATATATTTATATATATTTTTTAATTTGGTCCATTTTTTAAAAGTAAAATAACTCTGCCGGGGTTGTTAACAACTCCGCCGGTCCCAAGCCCGGGTTAAGAAGGAGGGTTGTGTGGTAGGTAACCGACAGCCAACACGTAAAAAGCCGCTCGGATCCCTTATGAAAATGAATCCTACTTTGAATCGTTTAAATGCTAGGTCGTTCCCCTCAAGTGACGCGTTGCGCCTGCCTCCGGGTGTTTCGAAAAGTGAGCAAGGGGCGCCGCATCGACGCCTGGGTGCGGTGAAAAATGGGCAAAGGTTTCCGCGTTTTTCTGGACGAGCGCGGGTAAAGAAGCTAGTCCAAGACTTGGTTTGGTTTTAAAAGTAAAATACAAAATGCTAATGACAGTGGTTAAAAGTGTGTAAAAGTGTGTTAAAAATATATAGATAAATAGAACATATGTCAAAGTTATATTAATGTTCTAACGTTTTTTTTCATTTTATGTCTCTCAAGTTTAGCATAAGCCAAGTAAGTTATTAGTGTCTTCTAGTCAAGTAAGACTTGAAAAACTAAAATTAACTAAAAAAAATTAATAAAAAATATTTACCAAACCTAAAACAGTTTTGTTCACAAGAAAAAAGTATTTACTCAAAAATTTTATTTAAAAAATATATCAAAAATGAAGTACATGGTATATATTCAAAATTTGGTGTAGAGATTTTCGTATATTTTACTTTCAAAATTATTTTCATACTGTTTATCCTCACTTTTGTAGAGATTCTGGCAACTTGAACATGAATCACAACCCTACTTGAGTATTAGCCATGAAAAGTATATAATAATAAATCTAAGAATACTGAAATATCACTGAACGCAAATTGCAAATGGATGGACAAGATTTTTTAAAAGTTGATTTCACTAATAAAATTTGAAAAATTTTATCCATTTATATGTATTCTGTATTCGATTCCATGTTCAATTTCTCTATTCGTAACAAAATTGAAAGCATATATATATTGATAATCATTCAATTGGTGATGCAGTACTTTGAGCAGAACCCAGACTTTAAACATCCAGTTTACAGCACAAAGTTGGGAGTATACAAGGAGAACTGTGGGCTTGAGAATGTCACCATTTCCTGGGGTCACGACGACTACATGTACACTGTATGCCCTCTTCATAAACCCTTGTTTCGCCAACGATTTAAAAAATATATATAGACAAACACCATTTTTAAAAATATTTACGTAAGTTAAACTTGTTTTTTAGGTGAAAACAAACAAGACTTGCATATAATTTTGAGATATATATTTGGGCAGGTGATGAAGGAAAACAAGTCAACTCTTCCATCTGCAGCGTTCTTCATCATCAGATTCCACTCCTTCTATCGTATGCTTCACTCATTAATTAATTCTCTTAATTATGTGTTTCATAAAATATTTATTTATATTTTTTGGGTGCATAATCAAAGCTCTTGAGTGATTGGAATGTAATGGTGTCTTTTGTTTATGCAGCATTGCACACAAGTGGTGCATACTCCTATCTGATGAATGATGAGGACACAGAAAATCTCAAGTGGTTGAAAATCTTCAAGTAAGTCCCTCCCTCCAAACACAAACTAATACAAAATTCGATTACTGAATCAGACATTGAATTTATATAAACTGATTTTTTTAAATGAATTTCATTAATAAACCTTACAAAAATCTTGTCTAATCTATGTTCAATTTAATGATTGTAACAGAATTCAAAACAAATTCGTCAAGGGAAAAACAAGTAAAATGAAAATGAAGTTACTTGTATAATATCAAGAGATCACACTTAAGTATTATTTAAGATATTTTATATGACATTATAAATTACATTATTTGAAGGATTTCATAAAATATTAGGTGTTTTTAATTTTTAAATATACAATTTTGAGTCTCATAAAATAATGTTATTAATGTCATGTATAGCACTGAAAAGATAACCGTTTGTGACATCTAACAAATGCAATCACACTAGCATTACTCAAAAATTGGATTTTATATATATATGTATATATATTTTACAGATACTTCATTTTCTTCTCACCTTTCTAATCCAACCAAACTTTTTGAGAGAGAATATTAAGTCTCTTGCTTCATTTTATTTTTGTTTGCATTTTCCCTTCTACAAATCCAAGATCCAAAGCTAGCATTAATGTTCAATTTCAATCTATAAACTTATGATTTGGCTTCATTAGCCAATCTTTGCATAGAGGCCCCAAACAAAATAAATCTCCATTACATACCAAACAAGTACTAAAAATGGCCAGTGTTGCTTGCTTTTGTGTTGGTGCAGCAAGTATGATCTCTACAGCAAGAGCAAGGTCAGAGTCGATGTTGAAAAAGTCAAGCCTTACTATCTCTCCCTCATTGAAAAGGTTCAATATATTCCTCAAATTTTTTATGGTTTTTTTTTTTTAAAAAAAAAAAATTTGTATGACTTTTTGTCAATCTCTTTTTTATCTTCTTTTGCAGTACTTTCCAGCCAAGCTTAGATGGTGAATAGAATGACATATATATGATCTTTTTAACGAGTTTTAAGATACTCGTTAACAAAACTTAAAATAATTGTACAAATTTTATCATCTACACGGTCATAAAAATGTGCAATTATTTCATTAACAAAAATATATATATATATGTGTGTGTGTATACAAACTGATGATCCCCATAGGTAGCCAGCAGCAGCAGCAGATGTATGTATGTATGAGTAAACTGAAAGTGGTTGGAACCAAACAACCATTTTTGTGTTTTCTAGCTTTGTTTTCATGCAATGGAGGAAGTTTTTTTGTACTTCTATGCTGTTGTGTATTTGATGCAGTATCTATCTATCAATAAAATTTTATAAATTAAAAAAAAATAAAATAAAATTGAGAGATTACTATTCCTACTCCCCTGTTTTTTGATAATTGCGCTCCAATTTTTGTTGTTTAATGTGCATTAGAAATTGTATTATGTATAATTTTATATAACAAATTAAAAAAAGAAAAGAATATATGTGTGTGTGTATACAAACTGATGATCCCCATAGGTAGCCAGCAGCAGCAGCAGCAGCAGCAGATGTATGTATGTATGAGTAAACTGAAAGTGGTTGGAACCAAACAACCATTTTTGTGTTTTCTAGCTTTGTTTTGATGCAATGGAGGAAGTTTTTTTGTACTTCTATGCTGTTGTGTATTCGATGCAGTATCCATCTATCAATAAAATTTTATAAATTAAAAAAAAAATAAAAATTGAGAGATTACTATTCCTACTCCCCTGTTTTTTGATAATTGCGCTCCAATTTTTGTTGTTTAATGTGCATTAGAAATTGTATTATGTATAATTTTATATAACAAATTAAAAAAAGAAAAGAAATAGTGGAGGGTATTATATATCAAGAATATGATTGTATTTTATGATATATTTTTTTAATAATTCAATTGATGAAAATGTTAACAGATGTAAATTTTATACAGAATAATGCGACACAGTATGGCCCCTGTAAAATAACTGATGTATTATTATTGATTGTATTGATTGATGTATTGATATTTTTATCTGTATATTACAAGTCCTATATATAGAGAGGTTTTGGGAGTAGTAGGTGTAGAGTGGGTGGTGGTAGTAGGTAAAGTGGAGGTGGTAGGTGGAGTGGGTGAGGAGTAGTGGAGGTGTGTAGTGGTAGATGTAGGTTTTAGTGGTGTAGGAGGTGTACATTAACAGCCCCCCTCAAACTCAAGGAGGTTAGACACAAACCAACTTGAGTTTGGAGAGAGTTACAAAACAGAAAAAAATAAACTGATAAATAAAATAAAACAGGATAGGAGACACGGTATGGTCGTGTCAGACCGTTGTAGCAGACAGTTTACGGGGTCATGTCGGACCGTTGAAGCAGACACTGTGTGGTCGTGTCAGATGTAGAAGACAGTTTATGGGGTCATGTCGGACCGTTGTAGCAGGACACTGTGTGAGTGTGTATATAGGCTGCCCAAAAAAATATACATGGATGTAGATATCGAGCCCTCAAAAGTCGTGCCCTCAAAAGGTGTAGAAACCTATTTGAGGTTGAAACAAAGGGATTGATAAAGCTGACCGGTGTAAAAGACACTGTATGAGTGTGTATATAGGCTGCCCAAAAAAAAATATACATGGATGTAGATATCGAGCCCTCAAAAGACGTGCCCTCAAAAGGTGTAGAAACCTATTTGAGGTTGAAACAAAGGGATTGATAAAGCTGACCGGTGTAAAAGACACTGTATGAGTGTGTATGAAATTTCGTTACGTTTTGCTAATGATTGTTCATTGAGCATTTGTTAATAACCAAATAATGCAAAAAAAAATTAAATTTTAATTTATATTTTACATATTGTCATGCACTTTTATATAGCTCAATGGGGGCAGTGAGTAGCATTTTCTAATTTTGATTGCTTAGTAGTTTCCTCAATAATTTGTCTGAGGGGAATTACGGGCCGGTCTTTTAAACTTGATTTAATTCCCATGAGGTCTTGATCCAAAATAATTTAGCACATCTTTCCATTTAATCCTTGATATTCAGACCATACTCTCTCTCTCAACCGTTCACCGAAGACCATTTCCAACCTTTGACAATATTTGTTTTTTGACCATTTTCCATTTCCACCAGGTCAATACCGTCACGTTGGCAAAAAGAGAAGAATATGGATGAAGAAAATGAAAAAGGGGGATAAGGAGTCATATTCAATGATAAATTTAGTCTTCATAATCACAAATCACAAATCACAAATCAACATAAAATTCAAAGACATACTCAGTGATAAATTTATCACTAATAGACACATTCAGTGATAAATTTATCACTGATTGCTTGTTAAAAAATTACAAAAAGAAAATCTCAGCATCATTACAAATTAACATAGGATTTCAAGACATATTCAGTAATAAGTTTAGCAATGATAAACATATTCACTGATAAATTTCTCACTAGCTGTTTGTTAAAAAGATTACAAATTTTATTTTTTTAAAAAATAATCTCATCATCATCGTCATAAATCAACACTGGATTCAAAGAAAAATATATCAGTGATACATTTATCACTGATACAACAGATTTGGTTTAAGATAAATAAAAAAAGAGAGGGAATGAAGAAGAGGGAGGTGAAATCTGGAGAATCAATGTTGCTTATAGTCTTTTGAAGTTGATTTCACCGTAGAAACAACTAAGTTGGTGTAAATCTAGGACGTTGGAGTGTAGATTGGTGATTGCATAGTGTAGATCGGTGATGGCAGAGGTGGTTAGTAAACAGTGGCGGTTGATCAGAGATAGCGAAGTATATATCAACAACGGTGGAGATGGTTAGTGAACAATGGCGGTGGTAGTAGTCGGCGAAGGTGGTGGTGGTGGTGACCGGTGGAGGTGGCGGTAGTTAGTGACGGGCAACGATGGTGGTTGCAGGTGGATGGCCATGGCCATAACTACAATGGTGGTATTTTCTAGAGAGAGAGAGAGAGAAAGAGAGATAAGAAGGAAAAAAAGTTTTGGAAAAATGACCAAGAGAGAAGTTAATACAAATTGAAAAAATTAATGCGTAATAAATATTATAAACAATTAAAGATTTAAAAAGTGTTTGAGATGATTTAAATAGGAAATTTTACCAGTTGCTAGCAAGGGCAAAATCAGAATAAAAAATATAACAGGACTTTCTGGTACATGAGATAAAAACTTAAAACCTAATAAGTAATAAATTCAATTATTAGGACTATCTGGTAAAAATTCCTTTGTCTAACTTATTGCTTTATAATTAGGAGAATCCATCTTTGGATTAGGTGAGTGATGGGAAAAACTTGGGCTTAAAAGCCCATCAATCAATTGGGCCAAATGTACAATGCAAGTGCCCAACCTTATCGCATCATCTTAATAGGTGGACCATTTGTTCAAAATTATGTTGGGCCATATTAATGACCGTCATTGGGGCATTCGTCAAGAACAAAGTAATGTCAAGTAAAATTAAAATTTTAATTCACAGTATACATATTCTTCATGTACTTTTTATATTACCTAATGAGTAGTCATTAGCATTTCGAAATTCGGCATTTCGAAATTCAGTTTGCTTAAGTTGTGTTTAGTTTATAAATTTCAGTCGAGATTTAGAAAGAAAAAAAGAAAAAAATGAGTGAAATGTAAATATATTTCATTCATATTTTACTTTTATTTTTTCTTCTTCAAATCTCTATCAAAATTTATGAACTCGCGTTATTATTCTCTTCAATAATTTGTTTACTTAGGCCTCATTTGGGAATATACTATTTTACTAATTTTTTGACTTTTTATGAAAATATGTACAGAAAAATAAAAAGAGTGATATGATAACTTATAATAATTTTTTGACTAAAACTAAAAATTGTCAAACGAGACTTTATTGGGTCTAAAAGCCCATCAATCAATTGGAGCAATAGAGAGGCCATTACACAATGCATGTGCGCAACCTTATCTCATCATCTCTGAATAGGTGGCCCACTTTTAGGAAAATGCCTTGTGGCTCGAGAGGCAAAGGCTCGAATGGCCCGACCGATCCCTCCCTCTCTCTCTTTCAGTTTCTTTCTCTTTTTTCTTTATCTCTCTCCTCCATCTTCATAAGGAAGAAGAAGAAGACCAAGGCAAACCTCTCTCTCTCAGGCACACCTCTCTCTCTCTCTCTCTCTCTCTCTCTCTCTCTCTTTCTCTCTTTCTCTCACACACACACACACACACACAAAGTCCCAAATTTTTCTTGACCTGCAAAAAAGGCTTTTGAAGAAAAAGAAAAACCCAATCCAATCTCAACCCAAATCCCATGTTTATCTCTCTCCCTCTCTCTTATCACCTTCTTCCATGAGTTGGGTGGGTTATGATTGATTGAAACATACCCTGTATCCCATCCCTCCTTCCCCACAACCCACTACCACTTACTCATAACTCTCTCCCTTTTCTGTTTTTTTTGTTTGTTTGTTTTTTTTTTTTAGTTTCCTCCATTTTTTGCTCAATGACAATACTCATGGAAAATGGGCAACCAATTTCTTTTGTTGGCTTGCTTCTACAGTGAATCAGTAGTGAATCACAAATTTCTTTTGTGTTTGATTGGGTTTGATTTTTGGGTGGGTGGGTGGGTTTGATTTTGATTTTGATTTGATTTCAATTTTGTTATGGGTTTCAATTTTGTGGTTGAATCAATTTTGTGGTTGAAGGAAAGTGGGTTTGTTTCAATTTTGAGGTCTGATTTTTCTTCACTTGCAAAAAGGCTTTTGTGGTTTGCTTCAGAAGAAGAAGAATACCAATGTTCACAAATGTTTGAGACAGAAAAGAGGGGAAAGGGAAGATGAAGACGAAGACGAAGACGAAAAAAGAAGAAGAAGAGAAAAAAAAAAAATGCAAAACGACGTCGTTTTGCATTTTCGAGCCATTCGAGCCGTGTGACTTTCAAGCTACGAATCACTATTGCCACTTTTAAGCCTATTTTGGCAACATGTTATTGGAAAATGAATTGTGGCCCTAAAAACAGTGGCCCTAATGGCCCTAATTTCCTTTTCTGGATAAGTTTGTTTTTTTTTTCTTTTTTTTTTTGCCTTGTTTTTTTTTTGTTGCCTTATATGGAAATTTAGGGGCATTCGAGCCCCTAAATTTCGAGCTACC